TCCCGTTTCGGTGAAGGAAGTATAAATGCGGGTTTTTTAGTAATGGGTTGGATGTGATCTCTTCTTTGTGAGTTGTTAAGCGGGTTCGAAGAGTCATTAGACTCATTACTACTATTTTTAACGACAGATTTAACAAAGCGGACAGATTTCGGAGTATGAAGGCGGGGTCTGGCGGCGGAGAGTGGCTGGAAGCGGTGGTTTAGGGAGGAGGCGAGGGCTAAAGACGCCATCTTTTTGATAGCGTGTAAGATCCTATTTTCGAGTTGGAAATGGTAGTGAGCGGGGTTCGTCGGGGTTTCTATAGACGACCGTGTATTCGATCCGTTCGATTATGATCCGACGGTCTATATGGTATCCGAATATGCGGTAAGTGAGGGCCAGGTTGGAGGGTTTGTTTGGCTTCGTAAACTCCGCCTGAGATTTGAAAACTCCGCCACCACCTGGCGTCTGCCACCATTTTTGGACATTTAATGTGGGTGGAGGTCTCTAACGTGCGCGTGGTAAACAAAAATCCAACGGCATCTCGGAGTTAATTAAATCACTCAATCATCCTTTCGTTACTGCTGACTCACTCAAAATTAAATAATTACTAATTACTCACACACTTTAAAAAAAAAAGGAAAATGCTACCGCCCCCTCACAAGGTAGAGCCGTAGAGGGGGGCCCACACTCATCAATTATTCTTCTGTTTCTTGGTGGAGAATTGGTGGCGCATTCGCATGTGGTAGTGGTTGAAGCTAGTCTCTGTATGGGAGTGCCTTCTACAGGGTGAGTATTGGGTAAATACATGTGATGACAAAGGCAATTGTGAAAAAAACTGGCGACGAAAAATACAGAGGTGGTGTATGGCCGAAGAGGTTGCTACATGTGCCATGTGGTCTTTTGCTTCATGACCATGGCGTCAACCCTACCCTATTCGATGTGGATGAGCAGAACGAAGCTGCTGTTATGAATGAATTGTTAAAGATCGTCACGGAGGAAGAATGATGCTCCACTGCCGGAGGCCCGGAGCCAATTTTTCGGTGTTTGTCGGTGGAAAATTGCTTGTAGGGCTTGAAGAACTCATGGGTGCCCATATATTTGGTGAATTGGTTCCTCGTCTGAGAGAAGCTGGAGCCCTTTGGCTCTGATTATTTGAGCAGCCAAGAAAATTTTGGATCGAAGGATGCTATAAAGTAGGTTGACGAAGGTGTAGATTATCCAACGTGTCAAAATAGGTACAGATTAAACAACAAATTTCAGCTTTTCAATATAAGATTTTTCGAAGTGTCAAGTTTTAATAGAATTAGTGGCCACCTAGGATTTTCGTCGGTTAAGTGAACATTTTTTGTCTAATTGGATGGATGGAATTGAAATAGACGATGAATGTTAAATTATTTTTTTTTTCTTTTAAAAGTAAGTTAGCGGGGAGTAATCTTTTATTTTTGAGTGAGTATGAAGTAACCGGATGCAAATGTTGATGAGTAATTAAATTAACTCATACCTTCGTGGAATCTTGTAAATATTTTCTATAGGTGTGACTGTACTTGGAAGATGGTAGGTCCGTTCCAAAGTCGTCGAACAAAAAGCAGAAGAAAGTGAGATGGCCTTGAACTTTAAACTGAAAAAGAAGAAGAAGAGGAAATTGCACCCATTGACCTATGGTCGCAAACAATATACACCGTTCTAAATTTTCAGGATTTCGTATGAACCTCGATCTTAGATCAAGAGAATGTTCAAACGGGTAAAGTCTATGTATTCTAAAGGAATTAACAGTGCAATAAAGAGATATGTCAACCAAACAATTGCACACACATTATATCACGAAGATAATAAACTGGTTTTATCAAAAATAAATACTTCAATCACGTAAGAGTAAGTAATTCCTAATTTATAGTACAAGCAATAGTTACTCCACACAATAATCCCAATCTTATTGCCATCCCAAACGATGACGCAAAATTTAACAGGGATAAACCAATTTATCAGAGCGAACCACATCTCGTCTGAAGGTCCATAAAATTAAGAGATGCAAATATGCTGTCTTAGGGTCATCATTATTTGCCATAAAGTTTCAACAAATGTATCAACACAGTTGAACAAAGATTGCAAATCGAGTGTCCATGGGCAAAACAGTCCAAAATTTAATGTATAACCCGAAGCACTAAATTAAAGGTATCAATACGTTCAAAATGATAAAACGAGCAAACTGTCTGAAGAAAACTTCTTCAGATTCTACCCAACGCACCACCATATGCCTAGCCACAATGCCCAAGCCCAGTCGTCGTCGTCGACTATCGTCACCGTCACATACCACATACCCAGTGGCGCCTCCACTTGCACACTACGATTTCGACCTCCATTTTCCCAAAAACTTCTTAGTTTAGCCGAAAATCGATATTGTAAGTTCAGTCGATTTGAGAAAATCGATTTTTGGGCTAGTTTTTGGTAATTGTTGGATCCAAAAACTTGTACCGTGCTTTGATACCAGATGTAATGCGGAAGATTGAACACTAAAGAGTTTTCGGGCTGAGTTTAATCCCAAAACAATCGACATCACAAAGAATCAACTCTAATATCACCTACAACTTCACCCACTCAGGTTGCTTTTAGTACCCACCAAGAAACTCACAGAAAAGGTAGGTAATATTGCAGGCACATAGGTTGAGGGAAAACTAGAGAAAGAGGAAAGCAAAGGCAAACAGTAGCAAGAAGCAGAGGGAAGAACGCCAAGGTTATTTCTTAAAAGGTTTGCAATACACATGGTACAGAGGAACAAACTCAATAAGGGTCAATAGGTAACAATGTTCTAAAAAGTGCTCCTAGGCGAGAAGCGTAATGAAAACGCTTCGCCTTGAGCCTAAGCGAGAATTAAACGGTCAACGACAATGTTGACTTCATAATGCTCGCCTAGCGTTCCTAGGCGCTCATCCGCCAAGTTTTTTTTTGTTATAGATGCACACCAAGAAAAGGAATAGATTTGACACTACGAGGATGAACTGCAAGGTTGATGAACAAGAAGAAGAGAAAGGCCAAAATAGAGATTTTACTAGCAAGTAATACTACTAATGCACAATCTTGGATTGTAGAGGGTTGTGATGATGTGGGTGAAGATGAGAATGATATCTTACAACCTATAAAAGGTACAAGAAATGATCAAAATGAAATAATGGAGCCCGAGAATGATGATTTTGTATTGGAAGATACGAAGGACGAATTAGATAAAGAAGAAGATATTGAATTGGAATTCGATAAAGAGTTAGATTAGATAAGATTTACACTACAAGTTATCTACGTTATGTAATTATGATTTTGAAACTTATCTTTATGTATGAATTATTAAATAAATACATCATTTTATAATTTTAGATGTTTGGTATGTATTCTTTTTTAGATGTTTGGTATGTATTATTTAAATTATTGAATTTTTTTTTATAATGATTAAAAATTTAAAATAGAAAAACATTTTTTTACGTCTCAGCCTTTAGGCTCGTAAAGCTTGAAGTTTGGCCCCCACGCCTAGCCACACTTTACGCTTTTTAGTACACTGATAGGTAATTAATAGGTGGGCTAAGTACAAAAGCTACCCAAGAAGTTATGGATCGAGCCATGAGCAACTCTAAATAATTAGGATACTTCCAATAATCCACACTTGTTATAGGTTCAGGTTATTCCATTTGAGGTGTCGATATTTTATTTCAGTCATTTGGTTAATATCGATTGAATACTAATGATTTAACATCATTGTTCAGAAAGTCGTTTGACAACAATTTGTCTAACACAATGATTAACTTAAATAATAATAATAAAACATTTCAATCATCTGTCAATAATGTTGAACATTTCAATAATAAAGTGATGGTAGTTACCTGGCATCTGCCACTATATTTGAACATTTAGCATGGGTGGAGTTAGTCATAGCAATGGGCTGAGCTGGCTCGACCTTTAAACCCACGAGCTCGTGGCTCGTTTGTTTGTGGGCAAGCTCGGCTCGGCCTACGAGCTCATGAGCTCACGAGCCGAGCTGCAAGCCCACGAGCTTTTTGAATTTTTTTATTTTTATTTTTACTTTTTCACGTTTTTTTAAAATTTTTCTTTAATTTTTCACTAGCCCATGAGCCGGTCACGGCTTGTGTTTTCACGAGTCGAGCAGACGAACCGCTCAGCCCACTTGCCATTTCTAGGTGGAGTTCTCCGATGTGCGCATGGTGAAGAAAAACCCAATGGCATCCATGTGGCATTGTAGGACTGTACTTTGTTTTGAAGATGGTGGGAAAGTGGGATGGTTTAAATTTTGAACTGACGAAAATGGACTTGGCACGACCTGTTAACTAATATTGACCAAAAAACCTACGTGCTTGATGAATGTCGAAGTTGATAGGCTACACCTTGAAGGTCACTTCTATAATTAAGTCACGATTTACATACAAGAATGTAAGGTGAGAAACAGTTTCTTAACTAGTCAAATTGAGAGAAATATGTAATTTCAGTAAAAAAAAAAAAAAGGGTTGACGAGGAAAGTGGGTTCTCTTAAAGGTAGATGAGTTAAGCAGCTCGACTCGTCCTTTAAACACCCATACCCGTACTAAAACGAGAGAATGTATAAAATGGTAGATTTTATTTTAATTCAGTTTAGTGTGTGTTGATTTTATTGAATTATATTTAATTATGTGTAGCAAGATAATCAAGGAAGTGTTTATAAATAATTGTGGCAGACGAGACGTCTCATTTACCATTTTGGAGTGAAGAAAATTGTCAGATTCGCAAGCGTCCACTTTGCATTTTGTCGTCCCATGTGAACAATCACTTAAAAGCACTTGGATAAGCACCACATGAACATCAATATTAAATATTGATCGAGTACACGTTAACACATTATGCATAAAAATAGGACCCCCCACACTCACTAGACATTTGACAGTAGTTTTATTATCACACTTCACTCTTCTCTACAAGAAGAGAACTTATTACATAGCGATCATGCTTCATCATTTTAGCTGCTTTGTAGGTATGCCTCTATATCATATGATAAGGGGATCCACCACTGTTATAAACATTTGACGCTTCATAGATTGCTCCGGAGAAGTGTAACCATCTATGTTGTTCAGGTAACTCAAATCAGTAATGCGTGCAATGTTGAGAATTCGTTCAAGAATCTCCCTTGGGACGTCAGTCCTAAGCAGTTCTTCATTCATGTCTCTCCATGCATTCTCCGATATTTCAAGAAATTTATCCAATGCCTCTTGTTTCGACGCCCCATGCTCTTTCGTGTAGCACTCAATAGCTAGGATATCGTTTTCCCGTTTGTTTTCACGCTGCAAGTGAAAAAGATTAGACAAAGTTTGAGAGCGTTCATTGTGTACTTAATACTGAACTTTTGGTTAAAATTTCGTACTTCACAGCTCGCCACATCATTGCGCAGTCGACCTATGGAGCAGGCAGCTGTCAGAATCTTAGGATTGGCCCAATGCCAGTCATATGTTTCTTTTGTAGCAGATTTCACCCCCATGAGGGCTGCTGCAGACATTAAGCAGTAAGTACTGGTAAGTAATCCATTGCTCAAGTACTCAGTGAATGTTGGCATTTGCTCTCCAAAGAACCACCTGGCCTCGGTGCCATAACTCCTCACAATTTGTTTAAACTAAACCATGATCAAACATAAAAGTAGAAAAACATAAGTACAAACAAATTATAAGCACAAAAACATTATGGATCGACCATGTTTGATATGAAGTAAAATATGACATTATTCACATGACTCAATCTTGTACAGTTGTCCAATTCATCATACCAAACATAATATTTGACCATCTTATCTAATACCTTCAACTTTTAGACGAAATCCTTCAAAATGGTGTTGTATATAGCAACAAAATGTTTGTGTTAAATTCTCGTTGTTAACTATTTTTGCAAAAATTGTGCAGGTGCCAGGGCTATTGAAGAAATGAATTTGGCATGCTCTCGAGGGGACAATTGAAAACTAAATATAAATAAATAAACGTGTCACTTTGTCGTCTTTAAAATTTTAGATGAGCTGGTTCATTAAATGTCACATGTATTTAAGGGAAAGAAGGTAATACTCTTTCTTTGGTATGATGAGCTGCATAGGATCTCCCTTCTTTGTTGAGTAGTTCATCAAAACTACTGTATTCATCCAAGATAACTTGATAACACCGTTTCATGTAATCCGGGAGCTTATCCATCTCAGTAATATCCCACCTAAGAAAACACAATTTTATTTAAAGGTTGATCAATAACTATAATTGTATATATGGTGTGGATGTGTGTACCTCTGTATTGCTTTAGTAAAAATTTCAAGTTCTTCAAGTATTCCATAACTATCGTATGTGTCATCCACGATTGAAAGCAGCGATAAAACTTTAGCTACAAATATCCGACCTAGAGAATATTGAGGTTCAAAATAAACGGCTAAACCCCAGAAATGACACTCGACAACTCTATCTCTAGCATATGGATATTTGGACAAAAGGTCGAGGTCCTTCCACCACCTGTAACAACATCGTACAAATGCAAGGAGTTTAGAATATATTAGTAATTCCAAAAAAACCAACCATAATGAAGGGAAGAAAAATTATTACATTCTTACCTTGATAGATCAGAAAGCTCTTTCTTGTGCAACATTTGCACAAAATTGTAATCTAATTTGGAAAACCTCACAAGCAGATCATTTTTTGATTCCTCCTTTTCATACATGGAAATATAATGAGGTGCTTCTAGTCTCATCAAGCGTTTATGCAGAGGTAGCTCGAGGGCTTTTTTTATTTTTTCTTGGAGAAGAGAGCCCATTTGCGGTGCCATCAACTTGAGATGAGTGGATGTAAAGACCAAAGCCTCTTCCAAAATGTCCTCTCCGTGCATCCTCAAGTGCGATGCTTCATAAAGATTTAGCAGTCCCTCCACATCCCCTTCAAGTGTTTCTTTGAATCTGTTATTTTGATCCTTGAATTTTTCAAATACACCTGTTTATGATCAAATGACTTGATTATACTAGTGATCTTAAATTGGATACAACAAAGATATCGTCAAAATGTTTAACTCAAAAATTTGAAATTAGTCCAAAAAAAAACTAAGGTCTAATCTTCTCTGCATTGTAGAGTTTCTTCTACCTAAGGATGGCAAAAAAACCCGACAAATCCGATATTCGTGGGGCCCCGGGGAGGGGATAACCCGCTTAATCAAGTATTCGGGGCTGGGGGTAATTTTTTAATTTTTTTTGAATTCAATACTTTAAATGAGAAATTTCACAAAATTTTATTAGTTCTAATAGAAAATAACAACTAAAATTATTTGCCTAAATCTAATGAATATGGGCAATAAAAAAAATTATCAAAAACAAAAAAAAAATTCTAACGGGTAGTAAACGGGGCAAGGGCCCCGCCCTGCCTTAAACGGGTAAGGGGGCGGGGCCCCCCCCCCCCCCCCGGCCCTGTTGCCATCCCTACTTCTACCTCACGTCCTTTAGTTTTGGCCCTTCCAATGATTGATCTAAAAATTGGTCTTCCTAACTGAATATTGCATTTGTTTATATTCCGTGTTGAAGACAATTTAAAGTAAATGTACCCCCACCCTAATAAAGTTTTTGAGTACGTACCTTCAATACTAACTTAGATTGCATCTAATATCTTTGTGCGATTACATCTTTTAAGATTAATGATTATATTGTAGAAAATTGCAAACTGGATAGAACACTTACTACAAGGCATTTTATAGCCGTGTTGTCTGAACAATCTAAAATATAATGAAACGGTGTATAGATCATCGTCATTGTTGTCTCCAAACTCAGAAATGAGATTGAACATTTGTTCAAGGTGCTCTTCAATCTCTTTTCCAAAGTGATATGAAACACCCAAACGCTCGAATGTGTCAACCAGTACCATTTTTTCCTTTATTTTACTTTCTTTGGAAAATATTAGCATTTTCCTCACTTCTTCCTTCAATAGTTCAACCTTTTGAGCAAGCATTTCCCATTCCTGCACATTAAGCAACCAAACAATAATTATAGTAAGCTTGAAATACTAGACTTTCTGGTTTTCTAATATTAGTAATTTAGATTCTTGCATTTGAAGGCAAGTGTACACAAACTTTTGAAATGGCTATCTATTTATGAAAGTTGCACCGTACCCGTCAGACCTTTAACTAGAAAATGAATCTCGTGGGGGCATTAAAGATCAAAATTTAAATGCATAATTTTATTTTATTTTTTTTGTTTGTAATAGTTCAAACTTCAAGACGAGAAAGCTGGACAAAATAATGGTTAATGAAGAAGAGAAAGTAGTAACAAGCATTAAGCATACCTGATTGTCCAAAGCATATGAAATGAAAAAATCACCCCACATGCTTGGAGTAAAGTGGTTTATAGGCCGAACGATCTCCTTCGGCAGATTTCTCACTGCATGGCCAATATCAACTCCTACTGAAGCCATTTTCTTTGTCTTAAGGAATGTACTAATTAATTTGTTGCTACGAGAATGTGTTAACTTGTGGCTAGAATATAAGCATGACAACCACTATTTAAAGATACAGACCCCCCCCCACCCACCCACCCCTCGACGGCTGCATAAGTAGACTCATAGGGTGTTTGGTAGAGATTAAAATTAGATTTTTAGTATATTGTGATAGAAGTTTTTTGAAATGTGTGATTAAAAATATGTGGGACCCATGAAAAATGTGGCTAATATTGATTGTTTGACTTTGATTTGTATTAAAATCAGATTTTAATCCGGACCAAACGGAGGCTCAATTATTTGAAAACACTGTGGCAAAAATTGTTTTTTAGTATTGTAAGGAAGATTCATGAAATTTTGAACTTAACATTCATCAACCTTGACTAGTAAAAGGGCCTTTTTGACTCAAATTCTGGGGTGTTACCAATATCCTTTCGCAATCATACATAAGGCGGAAATTTTAAATAAACTTTAATAAAATTCAAATTTTCATAACATCAAATTAAATCAATCCAAAACATTAAATCAGAGTTTTTAACCATTCAATAGAAACTAAGGAAGACTAATCTCTAAACATAAAAAAATTACTAATAGTTCCCTTGAAAATGTTTTATTTGGCAATCCGTGCACCATTCAGCCACCATCCACGTTGAACCGATCTAACCTGAAAAGTTAAAATTCTGAGGGAATGAGTATTTTAAACTCAGTAGGACACGTGCGTCTATAACAATATAATAATTTTTTAAACATAAATCTATAACATTCCATACCATCATTTCATCAAGAGCAATCGGAGATCAATCGAAAGCTCTAACATTTGAGAAAACCCGAAGGAGATCTCACATTTCATTTCATTTCATTGGGACCCGTATCGGACATCAGTATGTCTCCGACACGTCGCCGATGCATATCTGAGTTCCTTGCAACGTGTCGAAGATGAAAAAATGCAGATGGCTAGAAGAAGAAATATGGACTGTGAAGCAGATGGTGACTGGAGAAGAAGATTGAGGAAGAAGAAAGAAGAAAGGAACGTCTGTGAAAAAAGAAGAAAAGAAGGAAGAGATGCATGGAAATGAAAAGTAGGGAATGCACTGTAAAAGTCAGTAAAAAGTTTGTTGGGCCAATAAAATTGACCGAAAATTTTCTATTTGTAACAAATATATGAATTTAATATTGAGTTTAATTTCTATTTACTATTTAATTATATATATAATGCAATATGCATAAAAAAATTATTACTTTAGCCTATTAAATTTTAAAAAGTTAAAAAATTATATTTTAATCAACGTGTTGATGACGTACTGTGTCGGAACTTTTTCAAAAAATCGCGTGTCGACGTATCCGAGACTCGTGTCCTTGTCGGTGCTTCTTAGATTATTCGTGATGTTGAAGTATGACCTAGGGAATCTCATGTTTTTTCACCTTATCCTACACTAACGTGGATCTATGCTATGATCATGAACTTAGGATTTTATAGCTTGTGCCTCGAGTAAAAATCAATTGATAATTGGCATTCTGTTCATTTAACTACTCGAAGTTAGACATAAACAAAGAGCTTGCTCCAACGAGTCCTAAAAGATTTTCCAGGGTTGAGGAGTTTTATTAGGTTTTGACTAAGGTCAGTTCAGCTGATAAAGTTCCAATTGCAAAGTAGAACAAATTAGGTAGATAGATAAACAAATGCTTACTCTGCAAAAATATCTAGGAGGGTAATAAAAGCAAAATTATTGACTTTCTGAAACTCCTACCCAGTAATGGACATGAATTACAAAAATCCTAAGGGAGACTCAATAAAATTGAATCCTAGATGAGAAACCTTTGCATCATTATGGTACACGAACATGAAGTCCCGATTAATTATGCAAAAACCCCAAATACGTCACCACTGTTTGAATGCAAATATTTGAAGTTGGCTCAGAAATTATACAGAAAGAAAGGGAAGCATCGAATGAGCCCAAAACTAAGAAGCTAATATTTCACAGCCTACCCAACTTACAGTGGGTCTTCTTGTCTGTTGGGTAGGCATAAATAAGCAATGATAGAAATTAGGCACAAATAATGGGACAAACATACAATTTTATCTTGAAGTATATTGCAGTGAACATATGAGCTTGTTTGAGCCCCATTATTTTCTAAGAATGCATTTTGGAATAATAGGTTGATGGAGAATGTGTAGTTAAAAATAAGGAAAAGTTTTGGATTTGCGCGTAATATTATTTTATTGAAAAATGTATAGTTGAAAAGAGGAGAGAAAAAATGTATTTTGGAAAAAATGGGGATCAAACAAAGGCATAATATCAAAAATAAAAAAAGTAATGAATGTTAACAGCACCAACTTTAGTTGAGCATAAACTTTATGGCTCTATCTTACCTTTCAGCTTTAAATCTCTTTCTCGAGAATAAACCACACTTGAACTTTGATATTGGGAGCAATGCAATAAGTTCTTGAGAAAGACCCCTGCTTTGATTTCCAACTGATTCACCCAACTCAAGTAACTCCTGTAAGGAAATGAAATAAAAATATATGTTTTAGAAAAATCACAAATTTATCCATTTTTCTGCTCTAAGATAAATTCACTGTCCATGGATTTCATGGATTCACGGTTGATATTGGACAGATTAGGAGAACTAGAAAGCTGTGGAAACATGAAAATTGTCGGCAATATGATGCATTTGGATACACGAATATTCAACAGGAGAACATAAATTCAATTATGGTGATTATCCAACATGTTGACATAGATAGGAACCACTATACAAAAACAGTATAACCCAAGGGGATGACTGTAAGAAAAAAGTTCCAACAAGAAATTGTCCACTGAAAGAGCAGAATAAATACTAAAATGCTATCAAAATGGGCAATGCTATCACAATGATAAAAATTGGGCAACAAAATGAAATGAAATTTTATGCCATAAAAGAAACCATTACAGAAATTCATGACCATTTGGTGAGCAATGATATTTCCCCCAATGGAAGCAACCTGAGGTGGCTCCTCAAAATCATTATTTCCCCCCTTGTTTTTGTCGAACTACCCATCGCAGCCCCATTGTTTGTCAAGCTTACAACTCTACCCCATAATAGTGGAATAATACTTGTTAAACCTGAATATTTTGGTTCAGTTTTGCACCCAAAGCTGCCAAATTTTGAAGCTTTTGTCCATCTATTTTCTACGTTTTCCTTCTTTAAAGTCAATTTATTTGAGTTCTCTGGATTTATGTACTTTGTTGCTGTAGTGTTGATAGCAGATTCTTATATATCCTCCAAAAATGTGTCATTCTATAAAGTTAAAGAAAAGAAAAAAGTGAAAGCCAATAGACTTTTCCAAAAATTTAAGAAGCAGAGTACCATGCCAAAAATTGATATAAGCTCCTCACAAACTATGTCTCAACTGACATTTTCCATTGGAGCAGGTATTATCAGGTTGCAAAAGGATTTAAATATTTAATCAATTATTCTTATTGATATCAAGTATTGGGTCACATCTGCTTGTCTAGAATCCACCTGGGATCCACCTAGTCAGCCTAGATCTACAGTCTACAGGATGGGGATAGCATTCATGCAGTTTCACTGGATTTTCATTTGGCTGTTGCACAACCACCAAAGTTTGGCTGTGACAAAGTCTCCTCTTTAAGTTGTATTTTATTTTATTTTTACTAAAGTAGAATTTTTTATACATGAAAGCTTAGGAGCTATTTAGGGCATTTATATCGACAGACTGTGTTGAGAGTATGGCAACAATTAGTCATGTACTGTTCTTGATAGTTACATATATTAAACTTTTCAAATATTTACATTTGTTCTACAAAAGTATGAAGTATTAGAAATGTTCCCTAGTTCAAGATTCATTCCATAAATATCACAATATAATATCTGAAGTCATGATTTGACCAAGATTACTGGACGTCTTTTTAGCAAAGCATCTGTTGGACTTCTCCTTGTCCAGAACTTCACATTGCAAAAGTCCATACCTGATTCCTAACTACTAGAAATGTTTTCCTAACTCTTTAGGCGGCGCATAAGTTATACAAACACTTCCAGTAGAGAACCAATTCTCCATACTACATCTCCTTGATTAATTAGGACAAGAATTAAGATCACAAAATGCATGGTATAAATTTTCATTAGATAATGACTCGAGATAGGTAATCTAAGATGCATAATTAACATTTCTTACCTCATATGTCATGTTGTCAGGGTCAATGTTGTCTTGCCAAACAATCTGCATCAATTCAAGAAGGTGAGTGAACAAATTTCTTAATATACGTGCTTCTTCAAGTTATGAAAGGAATTATAAACATAAAACAACATTAATATAACAATGAAGGATGTAACCACATACCTCATAATCACGAGTATTCTGATGATTCCGTGGACCTAGAAAATTCCAAAGAACAATATTTTATACTTGTACACAATCATTTCTGAGATGAAACAATGCCGGTAAATAGAAATGCATATAAGATCATTGATGAAAAGATATATAACACCCACGAGCTAGGGGCTAAATGAACTAAAAGTATTCATTAATTTTCTTTCCCTACTCTCCAAATTATAAAGCAGGAGATCATTTCAAATTCTCTCCAACATATTACTTTTAAAAGTAAAAAATGGAAAAAGAATTTATCAGGGTTAGCATTATCTGTAAAACTACATAACCACAAATTACAAGCTAAGAACAACCACAATGATGGGTCCAGTTAGATAACGAAGTTTCATATTCAGCTTTCCACCAAGACGACAATAATCATGGTGCACGAAAGAGAAAAGGAGAGAGGAGGAAGAAAAGTAAACTCGGGACAGATTTTCCACATGATGAAAGAGTACTGCAGTGCAAACAATTGCTTTAGTTCATACTATAAAAGCAGTCTATCAGTATAATGGAAACTGAAATTGAATCTCACACTCCAAAGGATCATCATGTGAAGTGTAGCTCGAATGTCCTTCCCGATTCACATGTGAAACTGTAGCCTGATCATCAGCCACAGATGAAGGGCTTTGCAAATGCTTGTTATATTCATCAATTCCTGTCATTTGATCATTTACCACATAACCTGGCCAATATTCATAGAATGAGAAACTTCCAGGTTCGGAAACCGCGTATTTGTACAAATTAGTATTTGCTGCTGCATAAGAACTCTCCTGCACATAATTTGAGGCAATCACATACATTATTCTGACCACCAAAAAAATAAAAGCTACATACATTCTTTGTCTCCAAATTCAAGACAAAGATAGTAACCTCGAGAGTCTAATCAAAACATTTTGCAAAACTAGAGAACATGCTATGCCAACGGATAAGGGCAGAAGCTTTATTATGCTGATAAGTAAATTCTTGCAGCTACTAAACCTATGGTGGAGAGGGTTGTATAGAAGCCAACTCAATAAGTAGTTTACTTTCTTAAATGTTGTTTGGAATCACAAAAAGGCTCAATAATCATTAAAACTATACTAATTCACTATTTGAACCAATATTGAACAAGCTTCTGATGAAACAAATCTGACTTAAGTTTTTTTATTTTATTTTTTGGTCAATAACACGAGCTAGAGCCAAATTTGAAAAGTTTTTGAGCTTACAAATGTTTTCAATTTCTGCAAAATGAGTGATCAAACTCAAATTTTAAACAGCGCCAAGAAAGGAAGTCAAAACATATTTAGTTCAATGTACTTCAAAAAGGGAACAGCTCAATCAATTTTAATGGCGTACCTGAAAAGGAGCATCTGCAAAAACGAAATTTCCGTAATCATAGGTAAGACCTCCAAAAATATCCACAAAGCTTCCCATCGAATTAGAAGGCATGGCATGGTTTGGATAATGAACTTCCATCTGTGAGTTCCAGCTCATTTTTTAAAAACAATTTCTGATGCACCAAAAAGCAGGATCAAACTTACATAAGCATTGTACCTCGTATGATTCCAAGAGTTATTGAAAGAAGTATGCATATCTACTGTAAATTTATTTGCCAAATTCAAGCACATAGATATATGCAACTAAAATTCAATTTTGAGAAAATCTGAATTGTCTCGCAATATTTTTAAGTATACTACATTTCTGCAAATCCTGTAATGAAATCATCAACCATCAACTTTCAAGTAATAGAGTTCCAGAATCTTTGCAATGCATATCCATATTAAGAAATAATGTATTTTACAAAATAACTACAGCATTGATTTTCAAATTTAGGAAAGGAACCAAAAAAGGCAGTTTCACTCAAATGGGTTAATATTTAAGATTTCTCCTGTAAAAATTTAAAAAATAAAATAAAAATAGAATCTGAAGAAAATGATAACTTGACAAACCCTAAAATCATTAAGAGAAACAAATATTATGAACAATGTAAACAAAGGCATTGACATAGAGACATTCTACTGAGTATTTCGGTTCCTATCAAATTTCAACACCAAGAAGAAATTAAAATCAATACCACGTTTTTATCAGCGATTAAACAAACCGCTAATCTCCGAACATAATCCAAGACATGGAAAACAAGTCAATTGAACAATCAACAAAAAGAAACACAAAGTAAAAAATAAAATTCTAGTGCAAGAGATTATATTTAATGCAAAGAACCAGATTCTCGAAGAAAAAGAGAAATTAAAGAACCGACATTGATCGCTTTTTGAACGTCAGTCTTCAGCTGAGCAAAGCAAGATCCCTCTCTATCTCTATCTCTGTGTAAAGGTCATGAAAAATGAGAGGTTACTATATTTTGCCTGTCTTTTATAGATGGACAAAAATACAGAACATCAGGATGTGGAGAGGTGATAGAAAGGGACAACACATTTTGCATTCTCCTCATCCTACCAAAGAAATTCAAACACAAAAAATTGAGAAATGTAATTACTGTTAATTATCAATTTTGTAAATTTTGTTTGAACTTCAATAAGAACATTTTTTTTTTTTATTTACTGCCCTTAATTTCAAATAACAAATAAATGAAAATAATAAAAAGGAAAAAAATTATAAATATTAAAAAAATCTCTCTCTACCCCACTTTTACCATCGTCGTCATACTACACGCCAACAAGCCATACCCTTACTAGACTTGGGAGGATACACAAACAAAATGGCGCAAATATAGAAGTCACGGAGTGAACTGTTAACCTAGAGTTGAAAGTATTCGAAGTGATCAACATAAGGCACAAACACATGAAAGGACCTTAATTGAACAAGTGTGCGGAAATGGATACAAGGGACGATGATACAAATATGGGGGTGGGGGTTGATCGGGGATTTTTTTATTTTATTTTTCCTTTCCTTATTTTTTTTTTTTCCTTTTCCCTTCTCCCGTCCTATTGTTATTTTTCATTAATCCAAATAATGTTTACTCATTCCACAATTGTCTCATAAAATTTGACACGTGAGAGTAACATACAAGTGTAAAATAAACAGAAATGTCAATTGACGCTATTGTAACTTGCTACATAAAGTATCGACTAGGTCCAAAAAGAAACAATTTTCCCGTATCTGTAGTGTGCGGGGGAGTGTCTTGGTTATCCAATCCATCACGGGATGCAAATGTTATTGCTTGCATCCTTTCTGCACAAAAGGATGAGAGATTTCTTCATTTTTACGTCTCTATCCACAGTTGCCTTTTAGCAACTCATAGGTTTATCATTCATGTAATGTAAGAGAGAACAAAACCTGGCGTGCAATGCAAGGATTCATACACCATTCCCTTTTTTTTTTTTGTCACCACACATGACAAAGTTAATGGAATAAGCTATCATGTGCATTTTTTTTTCAGGACCTACTTGTTTGTTTATATTATTATATATTATCACCCCTATATGTGGCATTTTTAAAGTATGCAAAACCCAAAAGTTGTAAAATACTTATGGTCCATTTGACAAGGTTTTTGAAAAGTCAAAAGTTACTTATTAAAAAGGTACTTTTGAATCTTCATAAACAATTTTTTGAAAGTACTTCGTCTGACTAGAAATTTTATTTAAGAAAATTAATATAAGGTAACTTCAACCTCTTTTACAAAATGCAGAAGTAAAAGCAAACTTCAACAGAACTAAAATCTTGTTTGTTGTATTTCTTTCTGCCGTCTAGTGTTAAAGGTTTCATATTGTTCGCAGAAAAATTATATTTTAAGATTGGTGTTTGCAAATGAAATGATCATAAGATGAAATCTTTAAGAATTGTTTTTTAGTAGTGCGTACAGAATATATTTTGGAATAATATCTTTATCTCATTTTTAAAATATTGAATTCTTCTTTTTGTTGCTTTCTGGTATATGATTTAAAAGGTTGCAATATTGCAAATTCACCTTTAAAATGGGAGCATGTGATCTATGGCAATATTAGTTGGGACATTAGCTGGATTTATTTGTAATTACTTGCTATTCCATAACAATTTAATTTATATGGTTGCTAGTCTAATAAAAAAGAAACTACTTTCATTCAATAATAATGCTATTTCGAAACTCAATTCACTATTCCATAATCCTTTGATTTACTTTACAGATAAATTTTGCAAGGTGAGGGGTATGTCTGGGAGGAGGGTGAAGAGATCTGAACTCCTCGAGCACCTTAAGCAACCTAAGTGCCTAGAATCTCCGTCACTTTCCTTCACCTTTACCCCGCAATGACTCTTGGCATCCGGAGCCTAGAATCACCGTCAATGTTCCTTCGCCTTTTTCCATGCCAAAAATCGCTCCTCAGTCAATGACTCTTGGCATCCGGTGCCTCCTCTGCTTTAACTTTCTTCCCAGAGCATCCCCAGCCGGTTTGATCCTGAATCACTAGTTCTTCCCTCTCTAGAAATCCAGAGCTCTCCTTCCAAACCTCTCCATTAGGAGACTTCCCTTCTTCCATATTTGGACTGAAGCCTTCACCTCATCTATAATAAATTTACAAGCATCCAGTCCATCTGCTCGGTGAAATAAAGAGACTGCAATGAATTGTGTCCCAACAGAAACTTGGCTAAGCGGTGAACCACTGCAATTGAATTGAGACTCCACGATATATTATTGTAGCCTATGAAATAGAGCCAATTGACAAATAATGCCATAAATGCTTTAAGAGATTACCTCATTGTTCCTTCGCCTTTTTCCATGCCAAAAATCGCTCCTCAGCTGCAGCCACAGCATCCTCGCTTCTTTTATACTGCAGCTTGATCAGAACCAGGCTTCGCAAATCCAATTCCAAAGTTTTCCTCAGAAGATTCTGAACTTGTATTGGCAACTGGAGAGACATTTTCTGGTGCTTCTCGTGATAGAATCACTGTTTCTTCTTGTCTCTCTTTTGGACATTTTTTCCGAGGTTGAAATAGAAGTCACTAATGTCAGTCTTCTTTGTGACCTATTAAATTTAAAAAAGAAATTGTGTAAATTACTGTTCGAGACATACGATTAGATTTATTAACTGATACACAGAACTAAGAGCAACATTTGTCATCCAACGGACCATAAGAAAGATAACAAACAAAAAGGCAAAAAGGAAAATATATTTAGAAAGCAAAGGATAGCACTGTGAAGAAGGGGGAAAAAAAAAAGAGTATTTTATACTTAAATTTAAGTGAATTTCTAATTGATGTGGGAAGAATAGTTGTCAAACCGCTTCCAATAAGCAATAAAAGTCCCAAGAGACATTGAAAAGCTTATCCCCATTAGACAAGTTCAATATACTTCAAAAGCACGCGAAGACAAATGCAAGCATAAATTTATATATCAAGACAATATTTATCAGAAGACATGGATGACCAAATCGAAAGTTAATATATAGCCATGCATTATACACCATTTTCTTATAGGTAGAAAATCCAGGAACTGTGTTTAGAAGAACAAATGAGTGTTCTAATGCTGGTTCCACAAGAAGATAAGACCAACTACAAGCTCATTCAGGTGCAATCTCCACCCTTCCAAAATATCAACCAAATTGCATGTAAGAAGAGTATCAACATGCTGCAGTTTATTTGTACACAATCTACTCCAGGCCAGAACCTTCTTACTCAGTGGAAGTCATCGTGAAGTATGATCTTTTCCAGTTGCATGTACAAGTTTCTTTTGTTTTGAAATTTCATATTTGGAAACAGTGCCCAATTTACCTAGTTACATTTGACTTATTCCTGTGCAAGTGTATTTGTTTCAACACAGGACAAATTCCTTTCCCGTAGAAACTAGAATTTTATAATGAAGCTAAGAATATATGAAGTCCGTGAATGCTACATTTAACAGAACATCAGGGAAAAGAATAATTTATATATATAGCTAGATATGCAGTAAAAGAAGAATAAATATCAACCTAAAATAAGCTTGACTTACATCATCTTTCTCCTCTCTCAGTTCACGAAGTCGTTCTTCCTCCAGCCACTTGGCCTGCTCTGCCAGTTTCTTTTTGTAAGCACTTGCTACAAACTTATCATGGAGATTTTGCACAACAAGTTCAACTGCTTTCTCCTTCATTTTTTCATATACTCCATCATAATCGAACACTGATGGATCCTCTTCAAGAGCCTTTTTATGCTGCTCTTCGATCTAAAGAATATTCGACCAGAAAAAGGAAGTTCAATGTCCCTCTCAACGGTATCATCCTCATTAGAAAATAGATGACCGACCGTAAAACATACATATCTTGTCTCCTTTAAAGCCGTACTTATGTGTCATGCTGCTTCTATCTTTTGTTTTGTTGTTTCCAAAGCAGCACAGACAGTCGGCAGGCTACCCCCACCCACCTACCTTTCTTTGCTTTTACACTTCTATTTTTAAGTTTCTTTCCCCTCAAGTGTCTTGTCTCAAATGCCCTAGGCTAACCTTCTCGACTTGCAATTCAATGCACCAAAACAAAAGATATAAAGGGTCCACACAAGTCCCTGCAAATGCTTTTACAAACTTTCTCTTACATAACATACCAAATAAAGCTTACTACAACCAACCAAAGACCAAATAAACCAAACCCTGTGTGTGTCTTTCTCATATATATCTGTTTCTCTCTATATATCTAACTGCTTTTCCATGGACTTAAATCTTAAGCAATGGAGAGACTAGCAGCATAAGTTTGAAGAAGAAGAACAACAACCAACTTCTGCAAGACTTCTGCCTAACTCTCATCCACAGAAACCACCTGATCCTGCATTCCCACTGTTCATACCTAATCCCATCAGCAACTTGTCAGTCTACTCTTCTGATTCAACCACACCCTCTGCCAACAAAGCTCCATGTATTACTCTCTCTCACTCATCCACGAGTGTGTGCGTGTGTCAGTGTTTTCAAAAAGTTGTGACCCTCACCAAATAAATCTATTGTACAATTTTATTGCGTGAAATTACTGCAGCAAGTTCATAATAACGCACCGTGAAATAGGCAAGTACATGTAAATGGCACGAGCACAAAAATAGTCTGCACTATTTAAAGTTTAGTTTACTTACAATTTAAAGCTAAATCGGGATAGGTAATAAGAGCTGGCTTGTCCTGGTCCCAAAACACATGAGAGACGGAACAATGACCAGATTTCACAAGATGCTCCTGTAACCCAATTTTGAAATGCAATGTTGGTCAACATCTTAACAAATTGAAACAAGATAAAGACTGAAGAAACCAAAGCTTTAAAAATCACAGTATATATATAAAGAAAGCAACATGTTACATTTACAAGGTAATTCAAATATGCAGTGAATTCCAGGATTTAACTTGCTTTAAAATGGTGTATAACATTTGTTTCCATAGGAAGTTCAAATAGCGCAATAGTTTCAAAATAACTAAGTCAAAAAACATTAAAATTTGCAATGTTCGGGTGATTTCCAGTCGAGGCACAGATGTTCTACTGCACGTTAAAACATTGAAGTTTTCCATTCAGCAGCAAGAACAAGTAGCAAGCTCTAAACAATTTCCAACAAGAATAATAAAATTGCTTCCACAAGAAAAACATCAAGAATTTGCTTCTTTCATCACCACCATTCAGCAAATAAGCTAACAATTACGAGTTAATAAAATAATAATGAGAGACGTGTTTCTTGCACACTATAACAGATCATAAAGAATACAAAGAACACGAGAAATCTCCCAGATAATAAAACCCATGTAAGCTAAAGAAATCTAAAAAAATCAAAATCAGAGCGCGTCTCCTAAAATTGTCAACTCGATAGAGTAGAAACAATTAAATAAACATAATAAAAATAAATAAAAGAACTGAAAAATAAGAAAAATCAGAGAAATGAATAATTTAGAGAAAACCCATGAACATACCAGTGGGTTTGTGGTCCTTAGAACAAGAGGGGCAAAACTAAGATCTCAAGCAAAAATGCTGAAATTCGTGGTCACAGTTATCGCATATAGAATCCTTGAAGGCCGGTCACCCGATCCACAATTCTCACACCACATATCAATGTAGTCTTCATCGTCTTTTTTTGATTTCGAACTCCTCTGAATTTGGGTTCTTCTGAGATCGGCTTCGAAGCTAGGGCTCGGAATTTGGAATGTAATCGTATTGTTGTGTATCTGTGTTTGGGGAAGAACCAATAGTCGTACTCGTTTATGATGTATGTGTGGCCGTGTCGGGTCGGTCGGGTTTTGATCAATCCTACTGGATCCGGGTGGCTGGTTATTTTCTGATTTTGAAACTACCTGTAAACTAGCCATGGTTTTTGACATTCATTATTTTAAAAACTAGTGTGTCACCCGTGCGTCAATGACTCTTGGCATCCGGTGCCTAGAATCTCCGTCATTGTTCCTTCGCCTTTTTCCATGCCAAAAATCGCTCCTCAGCTGCAGCCACTGCATCCTCGCTTCTTTTATACTGCAGCTTGATCAGAAGCAGGCTTCGCAAATCCAATTCCAAAGTTTTCCTCAGAAGATTCTGAACTTGTATTGGCAACTGGAGAGACATTTTCTGGTGCTTCTCATGATAGAATCACTGTTTCTTCTTGTTTCTCTTTTGGCTTCCCCGAGTCAGCCGCTCCACCAAAAACAACATTTTTTCCGAGGTTGAAATAGAAATCACTAATGTCAGTCTTCTTTGTGACCTATTAAATTTAAAAAAGAAATTGTGTAAATTACTGTTCGAGACATACGAATGGATTTAGATTTATTAACTGATACACAGAACTAAGAGCAACATTTGTCATCTAATGGACCATAAGAAAGAAAACAAACAAAAAGGCAAAAAGGAAAATATATTTAGAAAGCAAAGGATAGCAATGTGAAGAAGGGAAAAAAAAACGAGAGTATTTTGTACTTAAATTTAAGTGAATTTCTAATTGATGTGGGAAGAATAGTTGTCAAACCGCTTCCAATAAGCAATAAAAGTCCCAAGAGACTTTTTTTTTTTTTTTTTTGATAAGTATAAAAGTCCCAAGAGACATTGAAAAGCTTATCCCCACTGGACAAGTTCAATATACTTCAAAAGCACGTGAAGACAAATGCAAGCATAAATTTATATATCAAGACAATATTTATCAGAAGACATGGATGACCAAATCAAAAGTTAATATATAGTCATGCATTATACACCATTTTCTTATAGGTAGAAAGTCCAGGAACTGTGTTTTGAAGAACAAATGAGTGTTCTAATGCTGTTTCCACAAGAAGATAAGACCACCTACACCACCTACAAGCTCATTCAGGTGCAATCTCCACCCTTCCAAAATATCAACCAATTGCATGTAAGAAGAGTATCAACATGCTGCAGTTTATTTGTACACAATCTACTCCAGGCCAGAACCTTCTTACTCAGTGGAAGTCATCATGAAGTATGATCTTTTCCAGTTGCATGTACGAGTTTCTTTTGTTTTAAAATTTCATATTTGGAAACAGTGCCCAATTTACCTAGTTACATTTGACTTATTCCTGTGCAAGTGTATTTGTTTCAACACGTAGAAACTAGAATTTTATAATGAAGCTAAGAATATATGAAGTCCGTGAATGCTACATTTAACAGAACATCAGGGAAAAGAATTATATATATATGCAGTAAAAGAAGAATAAATCTCAACCTAAAATAAGCTTGACTTACATCATCTTTCTCCTCTCTCAGTTCACGAAGTCGTTCTTCCTCCAGCCACTTGGCCTGCTCTGCCAGTTTCTTTTTGTAAGCACTTGCTACAAACTTATCTTTATCAGCATAGACGTGTTCATCTTTGCTTCTCTCTTTGGCAAGCTTTTTCTCATAAATTATCTCGTGCTCTTTCCCATATTTTAGCTTTTTCAATCAGCACTTGAATATACTTTGGCTGAAAACAATAAAAAACATACAACATTAACGTATGATGTTTAATTACTTTATGGTATCTCTTGTACGGATAATTAAATTAATAATGTATCATACAATTTCTTAGGAAGTAGACTCTAAACAATACCTTTCTATCATGGAGATTTCGCACAACAAGTTCAACTGCTTTCTCCTTCATTTTGTCATACACTCCATCATAGATTCATAATCGACCACTGATGGATCCTCTTCAAAAGCCTTTTTATGCTGCTCTTCGATATAAAGAAAATTTGACCAGAAAAAGGAAGTTCATATATAAAAAACCAATAAAAATAAAATAAAAAAATTCTACAGTTATAAAATTCGGAAATAAAATAAAAGACAAATAAAGTAAATAGAATTATCTCACAACTTTAAGAGATTTATTTTTAGAAGCTTGGCGAAAATGTCCCTCTCAACGGTATCATCATCATCATCATCATCATCAAAACAACGTGGAGTAGGAAGCGGAGGTCTTCCAGGCTGCTTTTTCTGTTGGGATTGTGGATCTCTAAGTTGTAAACCGTACTTTTTCAGGTAAATTGTCTTCCTCTTTCGGCAAAATTTGTAATGACTGAAAACAGACTATTTGATTAATAAAAAAGTTCGAGAATTATTGCGAAGGAAAAAGGTCAATCACAAGCAATAACAAAATTTCTTCAGATGGGGCATTCAATCGACAACCCTTCAAATATTAGTCAATAGAGGGTCCTACGGAATGTGTGATAAAAAGTGGATGAAAGTTGTGGATTGAATGTGTGGACAAAAATGATGTTTAAAAGGTTAAAAGTTTAAAAAGGCACTCCCAAACACGCTCAAATAATTCAATTAAAGAGTAATTGAGTTGGGAAAAAATACAAAATAATAAAGAGAGGCAACAACTATCATTTTAGGGCTTTTCTGAAAAATATACCTCGTCTATTCAGAGAATTTCTTATCTTTCTATATATATACTGCATATATTTTACAGTCCAAATTTTATTTCAATGCAACTGACCAACTTTCTGTAATAATAACTTTGACAGACTCACTTTTGCTGAAATGGAATTTAAATTTTCAGCTCTCTCTAGTGTTTTCAATTCTTGAATTATATTGACAATGCAGAAAACTTTGACGCTAAATGGAATTGCATTTGCATCTTTTAATTGTTTTTACATTGTAAAACATACATATCTTATCTCCTTTAAAGCCGTACTTATGTGTCATGCTGCTTCTATCTTTTGTTTTGTTGTTTCCAAAGCAGCACAGACAGTCGGCAGGCTACCCCCACCCACCTACCTTTCTTTGATTTTAAACTTTTATTTTTAAGTTTCTTTCCCCTCAAGTGTCTTGTCTCAAATGCCCTAGGCTAACCTTCTCCACTTGCAATTCAATGCACCAAAACAAAAGATATAAAGGGTCCTCACAAGTCCCTGCAAATGCTTTTACAAACTTTCTCTTACATAACATACCAAATTAAGCTTACCACAACCAACCCAAGACCGAATAAACCAAACCTTGTGTGTGTCTCTCTCATATATATCTGTTTCTCTCTATTTATCTAACTGCTTTTCCATGGACTTAAATCTGAAGCAATGGAGAGACCAGCAGCATAAGTTTGAAGAAGAACAACAACCAACTTCTGCAAGACTTCTGCCTAACTCTCATCCACAGAAACTACCTGATCCTGCATTCCCACCGTTCATACCTAATCCCATCAGCAACTTGTCAGTCTACTCTTCTGATTCAACCACACACTCTGCCAACAAAGCTGCATGTATTACTCTCTCTCACTCATCCACGAGTGTGTGTGTGTCAGTGTTTTCAAAAAGTTGTGACGCTCACCAAATAAATCTATTGTACAATTTTAGTGCGTGAAATTACTGTAGTAAGTTCATAATACCGCACCATGAAATAGGCAAGTACATGTAAATGGCACAAGCACAAAAATAGTCTGCACTATTTAAAGTTTAGTTTACTTACAATTTAAAGCTAAATCGGGATAGGTAATAAGAGCTGGCTTGTCCTGGTCCCAAAACACATGAGAGACAGAACAATGACCAGAGTTCACAAGATGCTCCTGTAACCCAATTTTGAAATGCAATTTTGGTCAACATCTTAACAAAATGCAACAAGATAAAGACTGAAAGAAACCAAAGCTTTAAAAATCACAGTATTTATATAAAGAAAGCAACATGTTACATTTACAAGGGAATTCAAATATGCAGTGAATTCCAGGATTTAACTAGCTTTGAAATGGTGTAACATTTGTTTTCCATAGGAAGTTCATATAGCACAATAGTTTCAAAATAACTAAGTCAGAAAACATTAAAATTTGAAATGTTCTGGTGATTTCCAGTCGAGGAACAGATGTTCTACAACACGTTAAATAAAACATTGAAGTTTTCTATTCAGCAGCAAGAACAAGTAGCAAGCTTTAAACAATTTCCAACAAGAAAAATAAAATTGTTTCCACGAGAAAAACATCAAGAATTTGTTTCTTTCATCACCACAATTCAGCAAATAAGATAACAATTACGAGTTAATAAAATAATGATGAGAGACGTGTTTGTTGCACACTATAACAGATCATAAAGAATACAAAGAACACGAGAAATCTCCCAAATAATAAAATCCAAATAAGCTAAAGAAATCTAAAAAATAAAAATCAGAGCACGTCTCATAAAATTGTCAACTCGATTAAGTAGAAACAATTAAATAAACATAATAAAAAAATAAAAGAACTGAAAAATAAGAAAAATCAGAGAAGTAAATAATTTAGAGAAAACCCATTAACATACCAGTGGGTTTGTGGTCCTTAGAACAAGAGGGGCAAAACTAAGATCTCAAGCAAAAATGCTGAAATTCGTGGTCACAGTTATCGCATATAGAAGCCTTGAATGCCGGTCACCTGACCCACAATTCTCACACCACAGATCAATGTAGTATTCATCGTCTTTCTTTGATTTCGAACTCCTCTGAATTTGGGTTCTTCTGAGATCGGCTTCGAAGCTAGGGTTCGGAATTTGGAACGTAATCGTACTGTTAGTTGTGTATGTGTTTGGGGAAGAACCAATAGTCGTTCTCTTTTTATATGATGTATGTGGGGGCGGGTCGGATAGTCGGGTTTTGACGGTTTGATGTTTATTATTTTTAAAATACATTTTTCATTGAGTAATTGGCGCAAAACATCCATATATTTGACGGATTTTGGCGCAAAACGTCATTTTTCCCATTTTTTTTTATCATTTTACCCTTCTATTAAAAAAAAATACATAATAAATTGCAATTATAGGTCCAAACTTTTAAAAATGTGCAAATCAGTCACAAATATGAAAAAATCACCACCCTCTAAGTCACCGCCTTTGAAGGCAAATTCCTCAACCTCCAATCACATTGGCCGCCGGACAACGTACCACCTTGAAGCTCTCATTGCCCTCTTCACAACCCACCCTACCACTAGCCCCAACTCCGGCAGATTTGGCCGGAAATCAAATTCAAAAATTACAACGCAAGCAACCCGGGAGTTCACACAGGCGAACAATTCAGACGAAAATTGAACTTGTTCTTGGAGTAATTGGGTCTAACCCATTAGTAGGTCAGCTACTCCTGATGAAGACGAACCCAACCTAGGTGGTCTGCGGCCCTGGGTTGGCCGGACGGTGCCAGAATCAGAGTTTTTCGAAGCGTGGAGAAGAACTCGCGACTGGCGCTGTTTCATGAATTAATTGAGTTTGATGGGGGGTTGTTTGGAGTGAATTGGAGCCATGTTTTGTGTCTCCTGGACCTAGGCAGATAGTTCATGTAACGGTGATCGGAGGAGAGATTTTCAGTAGGTTGTAGAATTTCGATTTGCTGGTTCTGAAGCATGAGTTCGGGCATATAAGTGGATGAAATGGGGAGTTCTTGGTGGAAATTGTAGAAGATGTTGAGGAGATTAACTTGGTAGTGATATCCGGCGGTATTTGTGGCCGGAATGAGGTGGAAATTGGGTCCATAACCGGGGGCTAGGACATTAAGAAAGAATTTTTTTTTGTTCTTTTTAATATTTTTATAAGTTTTGGATTCATTTGCATTTTGAGAAAAGTCTAGGAGTAAGATTGCAATTTATTCTGTATTTTTCCTTTCTTTTGTTTTTGTTTTATTTTAATAAAAGGGCAAAATAGTCAAAAATTGGGGAAAATGACGTTTTCCCCGCAAAACCCGTCAAATGTAGGGATGTTTTGCGCCAATTACCCTTTCTCTTTTTCTTGATTTCAAGCACACAATAAAATAATATTACACACAAATTTTTAAAAAGAGAAAATTTCATAACTAAGAAATTAAGTTTCACCAATTTCAAATTTAAAAGAGAATGTTTAAAATTTCATATTTCAGATTTTTTAAGATTTCAAATTTCAAATCTCAAAATTTTTAAATTTTATTTATAAATTAATTAATTAAACATATATTTTATTAATTAAATATAATTTGGTCATAAATCATAAATTTTACATGTCACAAATTATTTTATAGTCACAGTTCAAAAAATTTATAGGTCACAATTTATTCATCGGTCACAAATAAAAAATTGAAACGTCACAAATTATTTTACGATCACAATTCAAAAAATTTATATGTCACAATTTATTCATAGTCACAGATCAAAAATTTTATAAGTTACAAATCAGAAATTTTATAGATGACAAATTATTTTACGGTCACAATTCAAAAATTTTATAAGTCACAATTTGTTCATCAGTCACAAATAAAAAAATGTATACACCACGACTTATTCATTGATCACAAATCACAAATATTATAAGTCACGACTTAGTAAACAGTCACAAATTGTCAAATTATCGATCGCAAATTAATAATTTTTTAGGTCACACATTATTTTTTTGTCACAATTTACTTTTTTCATTGGTCACATACACCGTACCTCGAACAAATTAACACCACAGCCAACGTCGTCACCAAAACCACTACCACCATCTCAAACAAATCGGCGCATGGCAGAACGTCACGCCAGATCCACCACACCACCACCTCACCTCACCTCCACAACATAGCTACCAAATCAAGACGCAGAACACAAACACACCATCACCACGACCAAATCCATCACCACTAACTCTAGATCCACCATCAGTAGCGCCCACTCCACCAACGCCACTAGCACCACCCAAACATCACCAC